TAGTCAGAACTACGATCTTTTTCTTGCACATTTAGTCTGAAACAGTCTAGCAAACCGCTGCCTTGTTCTATGGTGTACTAGCTATAGATTGTTGAAAGAAAAGTTGGATTATTTTCGAAAATTTTCAGACGTTTTTTTGTGCATAGGTGTTTAGATTTATAAATATGATATCACAGTAATATAACTTTGATTTTCAGTGCAGTGTAAAAACCAAAAATAATTTATTTCATTTTTGATTATGATTACAGAACTGTTGAAATGGGACTGCGAAAGCCAGTTTCATGTCTGAAAAGAATCTATAAATTTTTTTTCTGATGCTAAAATTTAGTTGCTTACATCAATTCAGAAATGACCATTTAGGACGAGTTCCATAGCTCCTGCCTGCTCAGACGCTGAAGAAGTGGAGAAGCTTGTAAAGCAGGTGTACCAAACTGCCTCAGCCAGGTCAGAATAACACTCTAATACATTTACTTCTGTAATTTACAGTTTTCAATGATTATTTGGGAGAAAATTTGCGTTGATCATTGGATGTCACAGCCAGTTTTAACAATCGTTCTGGGCTTAAATTGAAGGGAAAAAGATCTATTTGAACCAGAAACGTTACTGCAACTATTAAACAAATAACTCTATTCACTCATTCAGCTTTTTAAATTTAGGATTACCACAGACTTCTTTCCTACTTTGTTTCCTTTTGAGAGTGCCTAAAAAACGCAATCAAGCTTCATCTTTAAAGTTTACATCAGTTTGAACAATGTTTTTTTTTAAACTGTTTCTTTTCAGGGCATACGTAGAATTTCGACGCCAAGAATACGTTAAGGGTTGGTTAATAACATTGTTTTTCACTACAACTGTAGCAAATGTGTTATTTATCAGTGTTTTTTTTTTTTTTATTTTTTTAAAGTGCATAATAGGACAGCGTAGGCTGCCCCAAAATTAGCAAAAAAAAAGTTGTATTCTTTATCTTAAATAATTTCTGAGATTGGAACAGGCTTTAGATGAATTCTTTTCAGGAATTCGGCTAAAAATATGCCTATCTGTGGTTTTGTTTCTGATAATATTATCGATAGTCGGTATAACTGCCTACATAATTTATATCAGACATTCGTCAACGTAATTAACGATATTATTATCAGCCACTGTTGTTGCACTTAATTTGCGTGATGGCGGATGTTGTCGATTGAAAAGTGACTAACTAAAGCTTCCATAAATTTTTCGGCTGTAAGATAACGTTAAAGCTTATGGCGTGTCTGTAAAAATGATGTGATATGAAACTTCATTGTCCTCTGGTGATCTCAAAATAAGTCTTCTGTGATTTAACGCCACTATCTTTTTTTTTCAATGTTTTAATGAAGCGTTATATGTGCAATTCGATGAGGGAGATTCGTGTAAATAAATTAAATAACGTAAAAGAAATAATCAGATATATAAAAACCCTTAATTAAAAGGAACGTTTATTTATGGTAAACCATTTTCAAGGGAAAAACCCTACAGCTAAGCTTCACTTGGTTTATTCATTTTTAAATTGTCAGATAAAACTACAAGAAAATAACAAGTATTGAGGAAAAATTCATTTACACGTGTTCAACGACAATTATAGTGTATATTCCAATAAAGCAAATTTTTAGCTGTTATAAGCAGCATTTTCTCATTTAGTCACTCTTAAAAACTCGGGGATTAAACAACAATCTTCAGAGAGATGAAACAGTTCTGTTGTTTAAGTGCTACTTCCTGCAATTAAAATTGTTCAATATGGATTGCCGTTTTAAAAATTCTAATATCAGTTACTCTGTTTTTCTTTTTCGACAAAGTTTCTGGTGAAGGATACCGCAAAGTACGAACAAATTGACAGATTTTGTCTGCAAAAAAAACTTCTTTTACCAAAAAACCTTAGACACTATTGTTGTCGCGGATGCGACAATTGACTATTAAAAAAAAAACTGTAATAATTGAGGCACTTAGCACCGTATTATTGGAAAGAAATTAAGTGATAGCTTTTTGCTACCGGCACTTTGACTACAGGGGTATGTATTTTGTTTTTGAAGCTATAAACAGTATAAAAGAGGTCAAACTGAAGAAGACTTCAGTTATCACGTTTTGTTCTGTTATTATTGGATATTATACTTCCTCAAGGACTTTTAGTGGAACCCATTGTTGATCTTATTTGTCAGTTATTTCCTTTGCGTCAAGTTACATCCGTTCATTATTTGTCTTTGAATTTCGCCTTATCTTTGGTTATTTCCGTATAAATCTTTTTTTTAAATTCTTTGTCCTCTTCAATCTATACATTTTTTGGCGACCACGGCAGGATTATTGTTTTTTCTTTTACCTTGTGTTAGACTGAAAATTTTAAAGAATTAAATTCTGCTAGCCAATTAATCTTTTTAAATTTCCTTCATTTTTGAATTGCTCTTTTTGTTATTGAGCTTGCGCGTCTTAGTGGTTATTTTATTATTTTTTATAACTACGATAGTAGGTTTAATTACCCAAGTTTGAGGATGTCCGGCTATTTAAAGCTGTTATCACCCGATTTGCAAATGAGTTAAGGAAAGAAGTGAATAAAATTTTCAAAATTATTTTTCGGGAAGAGGTAACATCCGCTGTTGATCGAAATAAGTTGGAAGCTCGTCTAGAATTAGAAATACGAAATATCAAAGAAAAAAACAAAAAATATGCCGACTATCTCGCATCGCTCAGTGAGGACGAAAAGGATAAGGAAGAAGAAGTATATGAAGAGTTTCTTAACAAGAACGATAATTTTTTGTCGATGTTAATGTCCGCGGAAGAACTCCAAGTCGAGTTGGAGTGGAAGTTTAGAGAGGAGTTCAAGAAGGAATCCCTTAAGGAGGGTAACCATAATGTGCAACGGCTTCCCGACTTGTCATTACCGACCTTCTCAGGTAACTCTTTGAAATTAAGATTTGCGGGAATCATTGATTCTCAGCCCATATTAGAAACTCAAAAATTACAATATCTGGAAGGGTGTTTAAAAGAAAAGGCTAAAGAATTCTTGGAAGTTTTTTTTGGGAGAAATTCAAAATTACAAGGAAATCAAGAAATCCTCATCTGAGAAGTTCAGAAGCGAGAGGCCTTAGTAAAACGCACGCTATTTACTGAGCTACAAAAGGTCCCTAAATGTGTTAATCATATTACAGAGATCGAAAAATGGATAAAAAACTTGTCGCTGCTGCAGGAGAGAAGATTAAGCAAATGGTAGCACAACTTGCCGCCAGCAAACCGCCTGGGAACGTGTGTTTTACCAGATTTTCGAAACAGTGAGGAGAATTGGAAGTTGCTGGATTGGATGTAGAATACGACTATCCGGGATTTTTGGTGACCAAACCCGAGGTGGAAGTTGCATACATAAAGCCTCTCCCTACAAATGAATATCTTGAAGGCAATGCATTAAGTAAAGATTTTAGTTATGATCTCCCAGTGGAAGTCGCCCAATCATTCCTTGTCAAAGGATATGAAAAGATCTCAGCAGTTCTTGATGAAGATTGGGACTCTTACGGGGTGCATATTGGTTCAGAAGGAGATAGTGTAACTCCTTTAGGTCTGCTTAACGTTAAGAAGGCTGAGATTACTTGCCCAACTTCAAATCACGTTTTGTTCTGTTAGTATTGGATATTGTACTTCCTTGAGGACCTTCAGTGAAACCCATTCTTGGTCTTATTTGTCAGTTATTTCCTTTTCTTCAAGTTACATTTGTTCATTATTTGTCTGTGGATTTCGCCTTATCTTTAATTATTTCTGTATAAATCCTTTTCTTAAATTCTTTGTCCTCTTCAGTCTATACAATTGTTGTCCAACTTTTTCACAACACTACCTGATCAAAAAAAACTTGATTTTTTTTCCACATCAAAAGTAACCATTTTATAAAAGAAGGTCGCTGATTAAACAAAAGGAAAAGATATATTAAAAAATTGATTACGCTCAGGAACGTACATCAAAAATTCTGCTGCAGCAATCGATGGCTGCTGATTACTGCATTGCGCTTGCCATGCTTTCGAAACAATACCCTAAACTAAATTAAAAATCCGTCGCGTAACCCTCGTAAGATTTTGATATCCAGATTTAACATAGAAAGTGCTCAGACTAAGTTGAGACTGCGTGGGAACACACATTTTTAATATCAGCTTTTAGCAGCCCAAAGTAAGAAATGTCTTTCTAAAACAGTAATGAAATTTTGACATTTTTTAATTTAAAACGCGAATATATCTGTGCAAAATGATACGTTCTTTTATCGCAAAAAAGTGTATCGCAAGCACTACGTTAGCTGACATAGTCAAAAACGGAAGCCACAAATTATGTGATCACCAATGTCCGTGGTACTGCTCAGTTCGCTGAATGAACTTCTGGTAGTGCAAAATTTTTTTTGAAAATTATTTCGAACAAACATCTGGAGCTGCCGAAGCACTGACGAGTGGAGAACCTCCTTAGTTAAACTTCTAATTGCTAGTAAAGTCTTGGTCAGCACAAAAAGACATTTTTGAGAATCAAAACATTGAAGCAATTAATGAAGTTGGTAGTGGATAGAGTGAGAGTCATTTTAACAAAAAAGCTGAGCTAAAAAACGAAAAAAAAAGAGAAAAGATAAAAACTTTGCTGGCTTAAATGTCGCGGCAGATCAGTTAACTTAACCGACTACCTTTAAGGCGGTAATTTTTTTAAAATAGAATTAAAAGCATGAGATAATAGCTGAAATTAAGGAATATAAGTCAAACAATTTAGAAAATTATTTGTTTTTTTTTGATAGGTATTTTTTTGAAAACGAAATTGATGACGTTTTAGTTCTTCACGACTAGTCAGGAAACAATTCGTCAGCAAAGATCTGTATCTGGCGTAATTTGACTTTACCAATTACTGGGGCTTGTAGAAGTGGAGATTCGCACTAATGTTTGACGTCAAAACAAAATATGAGATAAAAAAGAAGGACTTTTCTCACAATACCCAAAATTCAAATCCAAAATTTTATCCTCAAAAGCGCAATTGATAGAGGTGAAAAATACAGAAAACTTCTGTACTGCCAATGGCGAAAAAAAAAGACACTTATTCTGACATGTCATTCATGCTTTTCTAGGAACTGGCCTCCCTTTTAAGCTTAGAAGATCATTTGAAGAGCAAACAAAAATGAGGTAAAAGAAAAAAATTATTTGAATAAATAAGTGTCTAAAAGTGTCCATCAGCTGAAGTTTTTGAAGTTGGCGTTGTTTAGATATACGCGATGTTTTGCCAACAAACTTCTTTATCGCTTCCGAATAACAGCAATCAAGCAGATCGTTCCAAATTTCCTTTAAATTTTCATGGAAAGATCATAGGCTGTGCATTGCCTTCGTTCAAAAGATATGATCATTGAAGCCTTTTCGGCGGAACTGTCAAGCTCTGCCTTGCGCTATGAGCAAATCTGCTTTACGCGGCGATTCCTCGACACTGTTTGCCAATTTTAATTGCAACAGATGACATCTGCTATTCAAAGTTGCACAGAAATCTTATTAATCGGTTATGTTTTTTGCAACTGGTGTAACAGGAGAAGAAAAAAACAGAAATAAATGTTGCTGTTTTTTTGTGATGCCAGAAGAAAGTAATTAAAATTCTTTAATAGGTTCAGTCTTGACATCTGTTCAAATTAAGTTTATTTTTTATTATTTCTTCTTTTCTTTTTTTTTTTTCAAATAGTTTTATAGCATAAAAGAAAGGTAAGAATAAAAATTGACACAGTTAAATTAGTTCAGTTAAGTTGAAAATTCACATGGCAGCAGTAACTATTTACAAATACAATTAATTGTACAGTTTACAGAACCATCAAATAAAGCCGAGTTCTTGAAACCAGACAGCCAGAAACAGGCAAACAATTATGAACAACGGTATTCCGACTGCTGCAGCTATTATGGCTCCAAATGGTACTAGAAAAGAATTTGATTGATTTCAATCTGCTATCAGTGAACATTTTCGTTCTAGCAGTCCCACTCCACATGAAGCAGAAATCAACTTCTTCAGCGGTGGAATAGAGACCATGAAATTATCTGTTAATATTTTTGATACTCCAGATTTATTTGATACATCATGACAGATTCAGAAATATCTTGAAGCTATTGCTGTAAACAAATCTTTTATGTTTGCACTACCATACCTCAGTTTTTTTTACTAATTAAATTACTGCTTGATGTTCAAAGTTCGACTACGATTCAAAGCTAAACTAATGATAGAATTAAATTAATAACTGACATCTTCGTTTAGGCTGACGATGAAAAGTACATTCAACTGGAGGCCTTGGAGTGTAATAATTTTGCGTTATCCGATATTCCTAAAATAATGCGGAAAAGCATGTGAAGTTAGAAAATACACGTATACACACGAGTTTAAGGAAGTAAGTCTTAAAGACGCTGACAACTGTTGGTATTCTGATTAATGTTTTAATGCTTTTAATTACTTCGAAGGTTCGTCACCCATTATGTATGCAATAGTATAAATAAGATTCATTAATTGAATCTTAGTATCATTGCTTCCAATACACGTATTCTTCCTCTAAACGGTTCTTCCGAATTCTACCACAGCCGTGTTGCCGTATTTTACTACAGTTAACACATCATGTATACCCCCCTATAGATCTGCAAAAACTGTTTGACAAGACCGCACCGACTTGACCTGTGACCTCATCCTGGTGAATCAGAAGAAAATATAGACTACCTCAACTTGTCGAACGCTTTTCAGGTAAATCTTAGTTGTTTTTGTTATCGTTATCAGAATTGCTTCTAAAAAACTGGTGTTTAGATCGTGGTTAAATTATAGAGTTATCTATGCAAAGCTTACTTTTCTTAATTTTTTTCTGTGAGTATTTAGCTCATTTAGTTGCTTTTTACGGTTAACGTTTTTTAAAATGTTTTAGCTGTCCTGCGCAGTGAATGTTTCCGGAAGTATTAATAGTCCGTACACTTCTTAAAATTGCAAAGCCCAAATAAGCACAAATTGAATAAACATTCTTTTGAGCAGACGATCAAACATTTGAAGAAAGAATAGCAATAAAATTTTGGCAGATTTAAAATTCCCATTAATAGATATGATGCTCAAATTAAAACCAATCAAGCTTAAACCCAAACATTTGCGCTTTGGTACTGTATAGGTCGGTCAACAAATTAAACAGCTGGAGTACTTTTGAAACTAAATAACGATCTAAGCTAAGAATTTCCTCAAATGAATATAACCTTCATATCTGACTGTCTGCGTAATTAACTGACACTAAAACTAATTTTTCACAAGTCGATTAGCTGATCCAACGCTGATCTTTAGACTATTAATATAATTACCAAAGTAGGCGATTCTAAATGATGTTTGTCCTTCCTTCTTCTTAGCTCTGCGAGAAAAAACTGTATTACAAGAAAAAAATTTAAAAAACCTGAGCTTTTTTTGCTCGTATAGCATGTAAAATGACTTCTGTGGAGGTAAAAATAGAAAAAATTTCTGTGCTATAGAAATAGAAAAATGAATAGTGTATTTTTCCCCCTTCAAAAGCTTATTCCATATCTCAATTAAGCAAGCTACAAATTACTGCTTCTATTCTTTTTCTATCTTAGTCGTAATCGCCTCTAACGTTTCCATACTTTCTTGCCTTTCTAAGCCATTATTTGAAACAGTGTTAAAGTCTTAATCCTTTGCTACATGAGACTTAAAAAAATGTCGTACTAACAATCGTTTTAAGACTGAAACATGTTGAAAAGTTCGAAACTATTAGGCGTATAAGTTATCTATAACAGCAATATTGATGTAAAAGTTTTTGCATCTGCTTCATTGTTTTTAAGTAGTGATTTGACGGCATCTATGTTCAGGAAATTCACTTCTGGTGCCTCTGAGCAGCGTCAAAATCGTCACCGCTAATAGAAATTAATGAGTTAAGCTGGACCTTCGGAAAAGCAGAGGAATTGATTTTAGATTAAAAACTACAGAAGATTGGTGCTTATGAGTAAGATTCCAAGTTTTTGGTGTTAGACTTCAACAGTAAGGCGTCCTAACAATAGAAAGAAGACAACTGATGTAATATGGTACTCACTATGAGGAACAGTAAAAGAAGTCCAAAGTTTTTATGACAGTGATTTCATTTAGCAAAACCTTTTTTTTTTTTTTT